AAAAAAGAAAAAGAGAGAGAGAAAAAAATGTTACATTAGGATCCAGCAACATCTTATTATTTGCCCTCTTAGTACTTATATTACTTAATTTCTTTTGACTTTTTTTCTCTTCTTGCATGAAAGGTATCACAGAATCACAGAATCATCTAGGCTCTAAGAGACCTCCAAGATCACCGAGTCCAACATCTGACCTAACACTAACCAGCCCTCCACTAAACCATATCACTAAGATCTACATCTAAACGTCTTTTAAAGACCTCCAGGGATGGTGACTCAACCACATCCCTGGATAGCCCATTCCAATGCCTAACAACTCGTTTCAGTAAAGTTTTTCTTAATATCCAACCTAAACCTCCCCTGGCGCAACTTAACCCATTCCCCCTCATCCTGTCACCAGGCACATGGGAGAATAGACCAACCCCCACCTCGCTACAAAATTAATCTTTTTCTTTTTAATTGAAGCAGTTGGTACTGATAAAGTATGTTTTTCTATTTTTCACTAGGTTGAAAATAACACAAGGTGGCCAGGTCTGCAGCAACATAGAGATTTAAATAACAGGATTAGACCAAAATAAGCAGTTACTTTTTCTGCTGAAAAAGCATAGGATAAGAAACTCATGTTTCCCTTCAATAGCTATTGCCCTGAGATCAAAAGAGCAGAAGCAGAATAGAAGGAGGAAAAAAATCCTGCTCCATGTGCTCCCCTCGTTTTCTTGATGTATTTAAAAGTAGTGCTGAAAGCTATCTTCAATAAAGGTAACAAGCTGGACAAATTATAACTTTTTAAATGTTATTTATATCAACTTGTCGTTATTTTAATTTTTACAACAATATTGTTAAAACCTAATTTCTCAGGTAGAAAATCATAATGCTGAAAACTCTCTTAAGGAAAATTCAGTGTTCTACTTTTCATCCATAAGCAAGTAATTGCCTACTCATCCATTTTACTCTTTGGTAAATGGCCATTTAAACTGCAGCAGTTAACGCTCCTTCCTTGCTAAAATAATTCCCTCTAAAAAAAGTTAGTTCATGGAAGTGAGATTAAGACTGAAAACTCTATGGGATGATGACAAACGTGTCTCTCCACTACAGATCACATACAATACTACAGACATCCAGTTATGCAGGAGAATCTGTAGCAAAAAGTGTAAAACTAGCTAACCTGCATGACGAAGACAGTTTGACACACTCCAAAATTTTCCTGAGACAAATGAATACGGGGGTTTCACCAAAGGAATTCTCAGGTCAAAGTGGGAAAAAATAGGCCTCTGTAGTGCATTCAGCTCTGGGGCTCCCAGCACAACAAGGACATGGGAGTATTAGAGCAAGTCCAGAGGAGGGCCACGAAGATCGTCAAAGGGCTGGAGCACCTCTCTTATGAAGACAGGATGAGGGAGTTGGGGTTGTTCAGCCTGAAGAAGAGAAGGCTCCAGGGAGAGCTCATTTCAGCCTTCCAGTAACTAACGGGGCTCTACAGGAAAGCTGGGGAGGGAGTGTCAGGGAATGCCATGACAGGGCAAGGGGAAATTTCTTTAAATGAAAAGAGGATATGTTTAGATTAGATATAAGGAACAAATTCTTTACTATGAGGGTGGAGCACTGGCACAGGTTGCCCAGAGAACCTGTGGATGCCCCAGGCAAGGTTGGATGAGGCTTTGAGCACCTGGTCTAGTGGAGGTATCCCCCTGCCTATGGCAGGGGGGTTGGAATTAGATGACCTTCAAGGTCTCTTCCAACCCAAACTATTCTATGATATGATTCTTTGACCTGTTTCAGAACTACAAAGTACAAAAGAGCTCAGCTGAGGAAAGAGATGAAAATAAGCACTTTTGTTTCTTGACCCACTTGGCTGGCTGAAGCATCCTTTGTTCCAACAGGGAATATCTTCATTACTCACCAGTACAGTGCAGAGACTGGAAAACAGGTTGAGTTTTTTGACATCTGTTAAGGTTGCAGGACTCTATGCCTGCATTGCATCTACATCATCAATAAAGTCCACAGTAGTTGCCGGGCCTCAGTACGTATAGGGCATGTTAGAGCACCTTGGGTACTTGTAATCGGTGCCCTCCAGAATAACACATATCTGTGGGGCAACCACTTTGAATACATCAAGTGCATAAGTGAGAAACTCTGGTACAGACATAAAGAATACTATCAAGAGTTCTCCTGTACACTAAAACAATAATGCACACGTCATGTAAGAAGACTAAACAAAAAGCTGTGAGGAGTAGGGAAGTTCTTGCAAGAAGTACTTGCTAACCTGTAGACCTTCAGTGGTTTGGTTTTTCACAAAGACTGCTAGTGTAACTACTAAATGAACCTGAGGGTATGGATCTGTACAGGCATCATATGAGATATGAGTTTTCTGCACACTGGGAAAACAGATTAACAGTTCTCTGGGAACATAAACCATGCTGTGTGTGACTTTTGGAGAGTGCTGTTCATGGAGTTAACAGACCATTAAATTTAGCTTCATCTTTCCTGCTCCTGATTAAATACGTTAGAGAATAAATTAGGAAATACACTACATAATCACAAGATATGCCAAAACATTCACTTTTCTTCCAGGGTAAGTAATATCTCAGTCTTCACTGAAGTCTAAATAGTTGCTGAATCTACTGTTTCCTTGAACTGTGACAGTATTTCCCGTCATAGAAAAATATGAACTAAAACTCACACATAACTGGATTAAATAAAAGCAAAAGCAGTATAATAATATTTCAGTAACTGCTATTCAAATAGAATCGGAATCTGTGGCAAGGACTTGGCCTTTTAACTTGGCCTTTTGCAGGATAGTCTCTACTTTTGAGATAGACTTATTCAATGCACTATGTGAACAGGTACCATGTAAAGGAAAAAAGAATCTGAGAGTTACAATGCAGTTTTTTAAGTGTTAAACCTTAATCCTAAATGCTTTTGCAGCTCTAAGTGTATTAAGGAATACATTCTGAGAATAGCTTGGCATTTTAATTGACACTAATAGGGATGAACATGTTTTGAACTATTAAAACTAGACTTTAATTTTCAGCTGAGTTGACATCGCACTGCTCGTAAAACTGGTTCGTGGGAAGATAGATTGAGATTACTTTCTTTCATGAGATTAGGGTTTAGAAATTGTTTCAGAACATTCAGGTATTTGTATAACCTGTGCTCGTATAGGATATGAATCTTTAACAGTGAGCTTTGTTTTTACCAGAACCTGGAAAACACAACTGTTACATTACACTGAATTTTGTTTGAACTTCTGGCCTTCCATCTTCTGAAGAACAATTTACAAACAGTTTTTTAAGATAATTATACGTAAAATCCTCAAATTCTCTTTAATTCATATGCTTAATTGATAGGAATAATCAGTCACAATTTCTCTTCTCCCCTTAAGTGTTTTTTTTAGTGTGTTTTTTTCTTGGAGTTGTGTGAAATCCCAACTGTCCCATTAATCAGGACTTCTTAGATAAAGTTTTGTTATTAAATAATTATTATTGAATAACATGGCTGATTATTATCTCTAACTGGGGTGGAAAACAGTGGTTTTTTAAACCTTTTTTATCATTTTATGTAAAGATCTGATAGACTGAAAATGTCAAATTGCTTAGGTGATTAATGGAAGCTATTAGCTTCCATTAAGCTAATTCTTAAAATGATTTTTTAAAGTCCAGCAGACCCAAAAATAAAAATATAAAAAAGACTTTAATCCATCTGTTTTAATAGAAATTTTGTTCATAACTGTCTATTTGATTATCCCTGGATGAAGCTGGGATTTCAGTCAGGTCTCAGGAAACTGAGAGCTGTCTTCAGTACATACAATCCAACTTTTCCAATGCAAATGTAAGTTCCTTTATAAAATCTGCAGGTACTGCAAAATCAATTGTATCTTCCTATTGCCGGTCAAGCTTAGCACTTCAACAGTAATTTACTCATAACCAAACTGAGTCAAAACCAGCTGTGTCTCAGAATAGAAAATACCCCGTAGTTCTTTCAAACACTACTGTTAAAAAATATTTCCATAGGATCAGGGCACAAGCTTATGCAAATGCAATCATGTAAACCTTCTCTTGTCGTCTTTTTGTTTTATAGGAAGCTATTCTCATTCCAGGATTTACATGTACTTTGCTGTCAAGTAAGCAATTGTGTATATAATACCACACAACAATTTAGGAAAAATGGAAAACACAAATAGCGTTACTATAATCCACTGTTGACTTGATTTATTAAAGATAATATCATACTCAAATAGGAGAGAAGAAGTTTGAATCAGCTGTTTAAATTCACTCCCACTTTGTTTTCATTAGGACACCATACTATAAGTCTCGAAAAACACACTCTTTCTTATCTGAAATGTTTATTTCAGATGGATGCTTTCAATTTCTTTAAATAATTCCACCTTTAAATGATTTTAGAAAGTGATAAAAACAGTGATAACAATAACTTCGTTAAAGTGTTAGTCTTAACTTGAAAAACTAGTTATGCTTAGATGATTTTTCAGTTGATTAAAAAGGGCACACACAAAATAATAAAAAAAAAAAACCAGCAACATGTTTTCCTGATTTTATTCCACTCTTGCTAAAGATTGCCTAATCTAAGTAACAGGTGAAAATAATCAATGACAACTAGCTATGGTAACTCCCAACCCTTGAGACTAAACAATTTTTTGTTGTTATTGTTCTGGTGGGAAGCTGTCTGGAAAAAAAAAAATCTATTACTAGATTTAAATCTATTCATGTTAATACATTTCTTAAATTTTTAAACTAAAAGTTTTACCTGCCATTATTTTAACCCAATAGAAACCCAAGGCCTCAAGGACTTTTGAAATTATTACAGGCATGTATAAATGACAAAGACTTTTTACAACTCCTGTGCATGAAAATCTTTGCTTTGATATGATCATCATTTCCTTTACTTTTTCCTTCTTTTTTAAGGAAAAAAAAAAAAAAGTTAACCAAGAATTAGGTCATATACACCATTCCCAAGGCACAGACCAAGTAAGCCTGAGGCTTGTTGCTTCCACCTGAGAAGGCTAGGATTGACCAAAAAAGCAAACAGCCTCCACCTGTCTGGGCTTTTGGCTTGTCCAAACAAGAGGCTTAGTCACTGGGTGAGAAGTAGGCAGACAGTAGCTACAATGGAGGGGGCCGTACCTTCTAAAAGTTGGTCCTACCCCTTTTAACCTTCATTATCCCCCTAGTGCTCTCCCTTACCCTTCCTCCACAGCAGACATAACTGGAGCAGCAATGCGCTTCTGGAGATCTGGTTTGGTTACCTTGTCCAAGACCAAGCCCCTTCTCTGACCTCCCCATGGGGGATGAGGCATGGAAACTTTTAAAGGTGGTGCAAGAAAACTCTGGGGAGAGAATCAGCAGGTGAAGGAGTAGCTCTGTGAATCCTGTTTTAAGGTGAGTGCTCTGTCATGGCAGATAGCGATGGGGAGCCGGGCAATCTGAGAGAAAAGGGGGTGTCTTCAGACAGCTCTCAGATGCTTCCAAAACCCTTCTGCCTCCAGCCTTCCCCTACAGAGGGTCCTCATTGCTGTGTGTTTCTCCCCTCTCTTCTGTTCCTGTGGTGTATCCTTGATTAAATGAAAATAAGCGTACTTATTATGATGCCTGGTAAATGCGCTGCTCCCCTCGGTGAGGCAGCCGGGCTGGGCTGGGCTGCGTTTGTGCCTTCAGCGGAGAGGGGACAAAGTGCCTGATTTGCCCTCGTTCCTGAGCAGTGGTGGGGATGATAGGGGGGGGTGGGGGGGGGGGGGATTATATTCAGCTATTAGTCAGCTAATAGTCAGCTATTCCCCCCTAAGCATTACAGGGGAATAGCTGACACTTCTAGGAAAAGAGGTAGAAATGCAGAGGCCCTTCGTTAAACAGCCAGCTCTTAACTTTATTGGCTGCAGCGGCTGATACTTGTGCACCTAAAACCATGTATGCCTGGTAGTACCTACTGGGATTAAAGTAAAAACTTCACATTGCAGGCTTTTTCGCAGTCTGTATGTAAAGTGAAAACATGAAACCTCCCAAACTGTAGCTTGTAGCTCTGTGTGGAGATGTACAGCTGTACCTCAAGGTATTGGGAGGACTGCCTGGGATTGCGTGGAGTTTATGTAAGTCTGTTGTGGGCTTTTGCTAAACCAAGAGAAGGAGGAATATCTGTGTCATCCTGTCTTGAAGGATGTGTTCATCCTGTCTTGAAGAACGAGCTGATAAAGTTATCCCACTCCCATAGGCCAGCCTGATGTTTTCCAAGCTGCTCAGTTAGTTGGTCAGTGTAGAAATGACGTGGCACGAAGGGAGCGAGGTGCGGGGCTGCAGGGAAAGCTGCTGCGTGCTCTACCTGTGGGCCTCAGACCCCAGCGGCCCCAGAGCTTCTGTGAATCGCTTTGCATAACTTACTTGGATGCAACCCTGACCCTAAAACCAAACCACCAAGGAAGGGTGTGATAAATAAGCAGGGCTCGTGCGTTCTGTGATCGATCGCATCCCGATGGTGCTGTTCAGAGATGGTTTTTGCAGGCTGTTATATAAGGGAAGCTTTGGGGAGGGGGGGAGGAAGAGTAGAGAACTGTGCTGTGTATACGCACCAAAGGAAATACCTCTCAAAGCTGCCAGTAGGAAGCAAAGTATTTATTTCTGAATGCCGATTGCATGACTCTTTGTGGACTGCAAGAAAGATGCTTTTGGGCGGGAGCTCCAGCTACTGTGCTTGAGTTCAGTTTGTCAGGTACATTAGCTCATGTTAAGCAGTGATAAATAGCTCATCAGTGGCACTAGCTTTTGACTTCTGTTATGTGTTGCTTTCTTTTAAGTATGCTCCCAAAATAATTTTGTCCTCACGTAATGAACTCTGACAGACAGCTGCACAAAATAGAAATAGTATCAACTAAAAAAAAAAGTGTTTGCATAATTCTTATTTGCATAATTTACCTTTGCTGATGGATGGTATCAATTTAATGGGTGTGATTTGGTGTAATGTGTTTGTTTCTCAAGATGTGTAAAATCAACTTATGCTACAAAGGAAGTGGTGGAACAGCTTATTTTAAGGGTTTTAAGAAATATGCTTTTAAGTAGGGCTGTAGATCGGCGTGTAAATGGAGCAGATAACAAAATCAGCAGAACTCATGAGTGTTAAATTTTGCACTAAATTTCAGATCCATTTTCTATTTCATGGTTCAGTGTGATACGATTTTTAGAGCCTATCACTTGTGGAAATTCCAGCATATCTTTGTTAGGATTTCAGACATACGTTTCAACAATTCCTAGAAGCAACTGTTTTCAAGACTGTCAGCAAGATAAGGAAAACACATTTATTATGGCACTATTTTCTTAAATAAGATCCTGTAGTTTTGATTCTTATTGATTGCACTTGTAAGTTGTGAAGTTTGCTATTTCTGGTTACAGCTTACTTTGACAAAAATTAAGTGGATTGCTTCTCTCCTTTTTGAAGCTCTCAGTAAGATCTTAGCACAGGGTGAGTTTTGGTTGATTATTTAACTGCACAATATTAAATTTAGTAGTTTGATTATGTACAACATTAGTAATAAATTGTAAGAGAGGCAGGATTTTTAAATATAATGTGCTTATTTTTTTTAATGACAGAATGACTCTCAAATAGCACTAACATGCTTTTGCTTCTGAAAGAGAGGTTGACTTTCCTGACAAGTCAATATGCCTGCAAAAACATTGTTTGCCTGCCTTCTTTTTTAAGGGAGAATGTGATGGTAAAATGTTGAGCTTAGTGTATCTTTTGTCAATATAAGTTCTCTGAGTAGGACAGCTATGCTCGTGTATTGCAAACCACGCAATCCTTTGGTTTGTGGCACTTCAGTAGTTAGGTTTTCTTGGAAGGAGGCCTGAACGGAGAGTGACACTGAAATAATGTCTTCTGTTTCTTTGGGATGTGCTGACTTGGTGTTGTGAATGGGTTGTAAGAGCAGATTGCCTGACCAGATTCTCTGACAGTATTGTGGACATTATAAATATAAAGGAAATGTGGTATCTGTTTACATAGAAAATGATAGCTATGTTAATAGATTTTTCTTTTTTCTTGTATGAGTTACTTGTTTGGTGTAAAGCTAGGAAATGGGGAAATATTATCTATGACAGCAAGTATTTAATATTTGTTTAAATTGTTCTTGGCATGAAAACTTCTAGTGCATCATACTGGCTCTTAATCTGCCTGTTCTGCTTTACGAAATTCAATTATAGTAATAAGCAATAACTTCAGGAGACATAAAGTGCAGAAGAGTATGTATTATCTTGTCCTTTTAGTCACTCCCTGTTTTGCTGAAGATTTTCTTGTTTTTTTTTTTTTGGGGGGGGGGGAAGTCTTCTAATGAAATTTTAAAACTTTATATTTCTCAAACCTATTACGAATGCAGTAACCTTCTTAAAATCTCCATATATAATAACAATATTTGGTGTTACATTTGGTTGTTTTACTGCATTCAGCATTATAGTTTCACAGTATAACAAACTATTATTTTTCACCTGTTTTCATTCATTTTTGGGGAGCCAGAAATATGCAGAGTCCACATCAAGTAGTAACATAAATTTTAAAATATCTGAGAGCCAAAGGGGCTTTTCATCAAATGTTCTCTAGGGGAAGATTTTGCATTTTTTTCTCTCCCCACCCTGTTTTTCTTACCAAGTTTGCAGTTGACTTAATCTCCCAAAATCTTCACAATACAGCGCTTTTTGTCAACAAAACTTCTTTTGGAAACTGACAGTAAAATTTACTGCTTAGTATATATGGACTCCCTTTTCAGCTGTAGGTACTTTCTTCTGTCCTAACACAGTCAAGTATTGTTCAATTGAGCAACACCGGAATGTACCTATAAGGCTGAATTCTTGAAGGGAACCAAGTGAAATTAGGCATGTAGCATAAACAGGAATTTTGATGAGCTTCTTAATACTTTTAAACATGCTGGATGAGACTTAACTTTTACATACTTGTTTATCTCATGTTAATTTCATTTAAATCACTAAAATGTTTGGGGAAATAATAGGAAATACGTTTCAGTGTGGCAGTGGAGAATTGTTTTACCTTCTAGCACCACTAGGATTACTTAAATTTGTAATCTGTGTCCTGGAAGGGCATGAATTTCATATTAAAACCAGCAAGCTGTAAGGAAGATTGACTGGCAAGATTCTCGGGGGGTGGCTTGAGGCTCTATATGCTACATTTTGAGGAATGTATTATCTTTTAAATCCTGTTTCCCTATAGAGTGCTACTTCCACAATACTTGAAGATGGATATCTACAAAACACTGTACTGTGTGTTGAATATGGAACACGTGAACCTTACAATTTTTGTTTATATTTTTCCAACAAAATACTGGAACTTGAGAATGTGCATGTTACTGGCTTGCTAGCAGACTTTTTGTCGGTGGTGTTGATTTCCTTTATATACACTTAAATGATTTTAAATTTATCTGAGTTTAACTCATACCAATGAGTGCTGGTCTCTGAAAACAATGTGCACAATCATAGAATCATAGCAAGGTCTGGCATTCTGGTAGCTTCTCCTAATGTTGTACCTGGCTGGGCAGTCATCAGATTTCTTCATTCATGAACATGCACTTGGTCAGAAAGTAGGTTGTCATCAAAGTCAAACTTGCACATTTAAAAATAATCATCCTTCTTCCTAAGAGGCTGACTGTTACCTTACTTGTTTGGCATGGGGAAAGGCAAAAGCTTTTTTTTTTTCTTTTTTTTTTTTTTTGGCATGAAAAATGGCATGACATTGAATATGGAGATGTCTGAAAAAAAAAGACTGACCCAGAAGGCTGGGTCAGAGAACAGTTATCTAAGGAAACAACAGCTTAAATGTTTCAGCAATGTAAATGGCTCAAGGTTAGAGAAATACAGACAAGGAAAGCCTGTCTGGGCAAGCCTTGTTGCTGTCTTTATGCCAGAATTTTCAGAGAAATTGAGCTTTTTAAATAAGCAGATACCTGAAGGCATTTTTGAAATCATCTCTGTCTCACATTTCTTACAACAGCTAAACTTCACTGCAGCTTTTGAACATGCCTAATGGCATCATCTTATTTCAGAATGGTTTGGTACCTTTGAGAGGGAGATTGCATGGTCTGGAAGCTGAAGTCTCTTGAGGTGTGGGACTTGGACTCCTAAACAGTGTAAGCGCTAGAATGGGTCCACAAAATTGATCATGTGGTGCATTCTTGCAAATCAGTCTGTCATTCTATGAGCGTTTTTAAAAATTGCCAAATATGATTAATCATTTTGTTAAATTGTCTGAATATTTCTGATGAAGTAACTGTTCAGGGTATCCTGACTTTCAGTTCAGTGTCTAATCTTGTCTGACCAACTCTGCTTGCAAAAGTAGTAAATAGAATGAACAAGCTTTGGATATTTAAAAAAAAAAGAGGGGAAAAAAAGCT